TAACCCAATGCATCCGCGTTTTGTGAAGGTGCTAGCCAGATGGGACCGTGGCTAATTCTGGCTCCCCTGTCTCTTCAATGCTTGGGGGCACAGTTGGCTATTTTCTTGAGACGTTCATCAGGCCACGCTCATACTTCGCGTCAGCGTACGTCAGCTTACGTCATCGTCTTGAGCGTTTCGAGCGTACACCAGCGCTAGCGACTAGGAAAGTGTAGGTATCGATCTAGCGTATGCCAGCTTACGCCAGCGTTTCGGGCGACTAGGAAATTATAGGTGTCGATTTGGGAAACTCCAGCGTATGCCAGCGTCCATCAGTAATGGAGAGCCTGGTGAATTGGGAGAGTAGCAGACTGCTGGATCAGGCGTCGTGAGATTGCGTGTGCAACCCACCGTACAACTCTTAAGGCACAGAACTGTGCAGCCTTGACGTACGGTGAAGTGCCGTTGTACTTTGTATTATGCAGTCGCACACGTCGACGCTTAATCCAGCAGTCTGCTACCCTCCTACTTCCCCATACTCTCCGCTCCTGGTGGACACTGTTATAGCTGACCTACGCTGGCGTACGCTAGATCGACACCAACACTTTCCTGGTCATTCACACGCTACTGTACGCTGGCGTACCCTGAACCGATACCTATACTTTCCTAATCGCTGGCGTACGCTCGAAACGCTCAAACGCTGGCTTACGCTAACGCAAAGTGTGGACTTATGAAAACTTCCCAGACAATCATGTGGAATGCTCCCAGTTCTTATATACTGCTCATGGGAAGCAGAAGAAAATGTCGGCGCTGATTATCAACGGGGGGGGGCATTCTGCTTTTCATAGATTTGCCAACCCATCTAGGTACCCTTTTTCGAGTTGACACGTTTTAGGATGGTGGCTAGACGATCTTGCTCCAGCTCCAGCGTTCACAAGTTTTACCAGAGTGAGATTTGTAAACCGGAACCAGGGAAGCAATTATAATACAAAATGCCCCCCCCCGTCGATAAACAGCGCCGAAAGTGTCGTTACTCTCAAAGAATCCCCTACACTATGAATCGTTTCAGCTTTCCACTTGAAAACTCTGAATATGACGGTTCCATATGTGCTGCTGGTAACGGAAAACGTTAGTAATGCAAGTATTACCGAACTGACTTCTCAAGGGATTGAAGTTCGCCACACTCGCTTTTAACCGTACCTCAAGCAAAGAAAGCTGCCAAATATCATGTGGGTTTCGCGCCATTGATATTTTTGTTCCCTCATTTCTAACGGACACTGCAAATCAATTATCGATCCATCTTACAGTATACCAAACTGAGGCTCTGGTCGATGACCGAATATGATGTCATTATGTATCTGGATCTCGATATTTTACCTCTCAGGGATATAACGCCCTTTTTCTCCTGCGGGTCATTTTGTGCAACATTCCGCCACTCAGACAGATTCAACGCCGGCGTTCTGGTGCTCAAGCCTAATCTCACGGTAAACCTTTTTTTCCAGTTTCACAGGTTAGGTCGCATTCGGATACCCAATTTACTTCATCTTATCTACTTCGGAAGGCCCTTATACGTTCTGATTGTTAGTAGTCGTTTTCTCATAAGCTGTCATTTAAGGTATACGACAACCTAATCAAGGAAGCACCGCATCTTCCTACCTATGACGGCGGTGACCAGGGATTTTTGAACTCGTATTTTCACGAGCTGAAATACACTCCAACCTTCGATCACACTCGTCCAAATGAACAAAAGTATCAGTCGGACCAAAGAAGGTAAAGCGCTCAACCGTTTTGATTCACATACTCATCCTAGAAACGGAGGCCGTGCTGGGACCTTAGCTGGTCGCTCTGAGCAAGCACAGGGTGCACCACTCATTATCTACCTGAGTGTGTTTCGTTCCGTAGTCTGAACCAGAGTCGAACAGCGTCGCGGAATCTGCGACGGGAGGGTCCTATTTGCCCTCCCCCACCTCCTCGGAAGGAGGATCAGACTCGCGGAAACCTCACCGAGCCTTCTTAATGGGAATGCGGGCTTTGTGGGAAGACCCTCATGCTGCAGCTGAGCTGATTTCCGAAGCGAAATTCGCGACGAGCGAATTTTCGCTGTACTCAAGCTGGAGAAAAGAAGTTGTGCTTTTCAGAAAGAGAAAGCCTCCTAGTTTACGACGCCATGTTGATTTCCATTATCTATTGTGCCTTTGCATAAATATGGCCTTTCAATGGTGAAAAACACACGTTTGCCAAGAATTCCCCGCGTTATTTCGGTCATTATCTGTGGCTGGCGAGTAATTATGCTACAGCAAACCTATTGTGCTCTTTTGGAAGATAAAGCCTTCTAGTTCCCAAGACCGTGTAGATCCCTGTTTTGTCTGAAGTTATATCCACTGAAGTGTTCACATTCGCCCAGAATTCTTCGCGTTGATTCCCGGCCAGAAGCGTCGTGAAGCTTGACAACAGCTGTAAAGTATTTCGTATAGAGAATGGCCATACAGCTTGAACCGTCCTACCGCTCTGCGAAAGATGGTTTTGAATGAAGTTATATCCTTTTTGAAAATACTATGTGAATGCAACGAGTTCGTAGCGCTCAAGTCTCAATACGGACGCAGCCGCGGTACGCTCAATGCCTCTTGTTTCATTTGAACGGCGTCATTTTAAGGTTCTTGTGAAGTTACTATATGCATTACACTACTCCTGAGAAAGACGTTTCTTCAATTCTCAGTGCTTCTGTTCGATTGGTCTGGTAAATGTTCACAGATACTCAGAGAGTTATTTGGTAAAATTTGCATACTACACAACATGTAGAGTTGCTTTCTGATAACAGGTGTAATTACCTTCATACATTCCCAGTAGCTACGAGCAGCAGGTCGTACGGACACGCCCTTTCCAAAGGGGTAGTAGCCCCAAACCCCGCCCTCGACCGACCCTCCCCCGATTTCCCGGGACGTGTTTCTTGATTTTGGTCTCCACTCATGCCATGATGTTAACGGTTGCCTTGATTTAGAAGTTTGAATGCTTTTTATCCCAAAAATATTTGATGAACCCAGCCTAACACTGCAACGCGATCTGCAGTAACATGGTTGCGAGGTCCAAATCGTATGTAGTGCGCTGTTTACAAGGGAGAACGGGCAGCGCATCCGAAGATTATTCTGTCATAAAGCTCTGGCATTCTAAGGAGCAGATGGTGCGCCCTGAACGGAGATCAGAGAAACGGATGAGGGAACAGGAAGACTAGTTGGAGGCTGAGCTATCTCAACTAACACGTCAGAAATTTTCTTCCACGAGTGACTCCACGGGCGTCTCAGTACCCTCTATGAGCCAGCCATAGTGAGTGTGTAGATCGGATACAGTGTGCACGGCAGCATTTTCGCACGGCAGCATTTTCGAAGGCCGATCAAATAGGATAGAGACGGTAGATGAATCAGTGGAGTAGACCTGCGATTGCATCGTCGTCCTCGTGTCCAGCCGTCCCCCAGTCATGCGAGTAGAAGCTATGAATAATACAATTTTCATATAAAATCGTATGAAAATTGTATTATTCATAGCTTCTGCTCGCCTTCGTCCCACTAGTCCCATGCTCGCTGAAAACCAAAACATCACTGGCGATTATCGAACGGTCAGGCCACAGTATTGCAACCATACATTTAGCTCAGGTCTCTTGAGTTTAGTTAGAAGACAATCTGGGGGCGGTTTAATTGTACAAGGAAGAGATTCGCCCGAACAGGAAGCTACAGAAAGTTTCTCTCAAGTGGGCTTGAACGAGAGCTAGGATGAATATTCTTAACCATCAAATTCATCACTAGTGTGAGCCGAATGAGTGAGTACATGTGAGCTGTCAAGATGGATGGATACCTTCATGAAGTGCAACATATGGGCGCAGTTTGTCGACGGGGGGCATTTTGCTTTCCATAG